GGGTGGCCCTGCACGGTATAGCTCATGGCTTCACTGAGTTACGCAAGCCCCTTCGCCACGACAAGGCAGTGATCCATGAAGGGGATTATGAGACTTACCTCTCAGTAAATAGGCATAGAGATTCATGAATTTATATATTACTCTCTTTTTTACTGGAATCTTGAGTCAGAAAGTTAAAGTGTGTCCTTGAGTATTATTTTAAATGATGCTATTGGAAAATGAGCACATTCTACCATTTGTTGAAAGGGCAGGGCAAATACATTTGCAGAGTAATTAGCCCACCTGCCCTTCACATGGGCATCACATAGCGTAACAGCAGCTTACAAATGAAAAGAACCCCCCTCCCAACGTAGAAAAAGGAAGGAGAAGAGGCAAGAATGGACTCCCAGTTAAGTTAAATATCCCTGCCAGAAGGGAATGTTACTCATCCCAATTAGCCCCAAGCGAGGGGTTAGTTGCAAGCCTGAAATCAAGTACAGTAAATGTATCGCTTTTTTATCTACTGATATTTTCATGGCTTGGTATTTTGTTTTTCAGGGTATATTCTATCAGTTGGATTAGTCTGTTTTGCTATTTGCAAGAAGCACGGACCACTCAGCAGTGAGCAAAGTATGAACCTCTTGATGTGGATGCTGCAGCTGAAAGGCTTGGTCTTAATTTATTTTGGCACTGCGATCCCACTGGTCGCCTATGCAATAATAACTGCTATGCTCTGTACAAAAATCCTGCATTATCCCCTTCAGGCATTCTGCTATGTTGGCAAGTTAGTAACCTTTCAACTATTAAATCAAAGCAAGATTCCTATCAAAATTAGATGAAGCAACTATTATTGTATAACACAGTCTCACATTCCAGGCAACTTTATACCGTCAATGAAAACCATATTGTTGTGTCGTGATTTGTCTCTGTGTAACATGTAGCGGAGCTTGCACAGTGTCAAAATGTCTGAGAAGTTGTTTGTTTCTGTTCCCAGTCAGCCGTAAGCCATTCAAAGCAAGGCTATAGGACCATCCAGCTCAAACTAAGCAGCATCACACCGTACATCTTGTCCTTGAGGATGTAATTTTTGGCATCAGTGCCGCTTTTTCTAAAAGTTATTGTCCTAGTGGATGGTTATGATCTTTTTTGAGAATGGCTAATATCACTCTACAAATAAATTGGCTATGTTTGTATGGAATGCAAAGCAGGATTTATGTTAACTATGCTTAATTAAGGAAGCAAAGAATCCTTATTCTTTGAGGATAAGCAAAAATGTCCTGGTTTGGTTTTGTCCCATTCCCTCAAGGAAGCATAGGTTGGTCTGAGAAGCAGGGCCTGTTTAGACATCTGCCTTGGGATCTCTGTAGATTGGCAAGAGGCCTAGAGAACAACACAAAAATCAAGGAAAAAACTAGGGTTCTGGGATTGGCCCTAATGATAAAGCATGATTAAAACAAGTTAGAATATGTAATGATGGTTTCTCTTTGCTTTATTACTTGTGATGCATTAAGCAGTCTGTAGTTAGGCAAAACCCTGGCTTAGCATTATGTGAAACCCAAGCTTCTGTTTTGTCATTGTTGGCACTGCCTTAAAAAAACATTGATTCCAGGGAGCTTAACAATTATCTGAGGCCACATTTACAGCCAAGAGGCAGCTTGTCCTCCCATTAATTCTGGAGGTACCATATCACAGTGGTTTCTTTGTAGGCAGAAGGTTCAGGGATCAACGTAACTCCAATTAACAACATCATTTAATAGGTCATATGAAGGAATTCTGCCAGAGACCCTGGAGAACTGCTATTGGTTAGAGTAAGAAGTACTGGGCTAGAGAAGCAAATTATGTCTTGCCCTGTATTATGAAGCAGTCTTGCCCAAGAAGCAAATTAATTTCCAGAAGCAAATTAAAACAGCATTGTTACAGAGGACCTTTTACCATGTTGACAAAACCCCACAGAAATGTTTATATTGCTACAATTATATTGTTGCCTTTTAGTTTTTGTATTATGTTGTACTGTTGTGGAATTGTTATTTTTTAATTATTTCTGTACACTGCTGAGAGTTGTATGATACAGTAATTTAGAAGTCTAATAGGAAGAAAGGAAGGATCACATGGAAAAGCAATCATCCTTCATTTATGATGTTTGCTCCTTATAAATACAAACTACAAGAACTCAGTAAAATTGGGGGACCATCATCACCACCGTGAAAAAAACAGCATCTGATTATGGAACCAAGACCAGTCTAATATAGGTATTCTGAGCACTGCATCTACCTAAGTAGACCCTAAGTAATCGATCTACAGGTGAAACTCGAAAAATTAGAATATCGTGCAAATGTTCATTTATGTCAGTAAGGCAACTCAAAAGGTGAAACGAATATATGAGATAGACGCATTACATGCAAAGCGAGATATGTCAAGCCTTACTTTGGTATAATTGTGATGATTATGGCGTACAGCTTATGAAAACCCCAAATTCACAATCTCAGAAAAT